CCCGATGCGGGGCTCGATCCCAGGACCCTGGGATCATGACCTGAGCCGAAGGCAGACGCTTAACGACTGAGCCACCCAGGTGCCCCTCAAGTAGCTAAATTTTTAAAAAAGATTTATTTATTTATTTGAGAGAGAGAGAGCGCGCCAGAGAGAGTGCACAGGTTGGGGGGGGGGCAGAGGGAGAGAATGTCAAGCAGACTCTCATTGAGCCGGAACCTTGATGTGGGGCTCATCCCAGGCCCCTGAGATCATGACCTGAGCCAAAACCAAGAGTTGGATGCTTAACCAACTGAGCCACCCAGGCGCCCTGCTAATTTTTTTTTTTTTTTTAAGTTAGATATTAGTATTTGCCAAAGCTTCTGTCTAGAGTTAATACAACTTTGGTTATAGATGACTCTTACGGAAATGTCCCACTTTATCTTTAGTCTCCAATGGTCCCTTCCTCTTTTTAAGCTAAGCATATAAAAACCTTCTGTTATTAGTAGCCTTAATTAGCCTGTATCTTTCCTTTGGATTCCAGTTGATTGCCAGCCAGCCTGGGAGATAGAGGTTTGAAAAAAGACTGACCTCTGACTGCAGGACTGTTTCAGGCTGCCAAAGTCCCGCTTACTCTATTCAGACATATGAACCGGCTCTAGGATTGAGGTCCTAGAGCAGATTTCTAAGAGTGCTGCCAAATGCTTAAAACAATGAGTGAATCTTAGAATGACTTTACTCTTTCTGAACTAAAAGTTTCCCAGGGTTAGACAGGCTCTTATCCTGAAATGCATAGCACAAAGTCCATTGATGATTGATTTCTCCAGGATTATCTCCTATACTGTTTTAGTTAGACAACTTTCCAGAGTTAATTACATCCTGATTACAGGCCACCTCGGTTGGTATTGTCTCTTGCCTATCATCTTCTTAGTAACATCTTAATATCTTAACATCTTAATATCTATGCTTCTTGATTTCTGTAGCTTGAGTAATAAAAATTAAAACGTTTCTGTAACATTGGATTCAACACTTAACTGAATTTAAGCAATTTAGTGGCATAAACCATCACCATATCCTTGTAAGACATTAAGAAAATGGGTGTTAATTTTGGGAAAAATCCCAAGTTTCTCAAAATCACTAAGTTTTACAACAAATGAGGTACCAACAGAGGTGGGGACTATTTTATTCATAAAAAAGCCATGAACTGGGGCAGGAATGGCTTTTGTCTCTCAAGACTCTCTTCAATATTTTTCTGATGTCAGCACATGCTCTTCTGAATCTTCCTAAATCAAGTAACTTACTCTTGAATTCTTGGTTTGGATAGTAAAAGATCAATGTGCAACTTCCTATGTGCATTTTATATTGCAATCTTGGTTTCCCTGGTAGTTTTTAGTGAGCATGAGCAGGAATAATGCGTGAGCGTGATTATTGGGTCCCGATCACTGCTTTGCAGAGATTATTTTATTGACTTTATGAGGTAGATACAGTTTTAATCCAAAGTTTATGGGTGAGGAAACTTTGAGAGATTAAATAATTAACTGGTAATCCAGCTGGTAAGTGGTTCCAGTTGGATGGCAACGCAGCCCATTCTTTTTAAACAATCAGCTTCGCTTCCCTGAGCCCCTATCCATTTGTGCTTCTCTCATTGCTCCCTGCACCCCTCCAAAGTATTGACCTCAAGTGTTATTCTACCTTGCTGCAGAGTGCAGCAAAGGTCTTAGAAGATCTCAGTGTACACGGAGTGCGCCAGGGGTTATCATTACAGACCGTGTTTATTGCTTCACTCAGCCAGGAGTTTTTGGCAGTTTTCAGGATCATGGAGGCCTCCTCTCAACACAGAAGCCAGTGTAAATACACAACAAAGGACCACACCTGAGGAGGGTTTTCTGTCTGTTTAAGTGACCTTGTTCATGGCTCTGGGCCACTGGTGATCCTTCTCATCAGTCAAATATTAAATTTCCCTTTCTGAAACTTCCTGTGGACCCGTTTGAAGTACCCTCCTCCCCGTGTTTTATGGAGTGATAAAAATTTCAAGCTCTTCAAAGCAAAGCTGATATGTACTTTTTAGATAACACTGTCATCATAATTGTATTTGT